ATCAAAAAAAACGAAAATTGACATATTATTTCGAATAAAAAATTAATTAACATTTTACATTCTGAGCGAAACGACGAATGTATTGGTTTTACAATGATGTGTTTATTTATTTTTTATTCATTTTTTTATTTTTGTGTCTATCATCATTGTTTGGAGCAGAAAAACTGCTTCGATTTTTATTAACAGTATCTTATTGGATGAGAAAGTGAATATAGTTGGTGTATTCGTGAATTTTACTCAAAATGCTCAATAGTTTTTAAAAGCGCACTGAAAAATAAAACAATTATTAAGAAAATCCGGGAATTGTTACTCAAAATCAATTTTCAGCAAAATTGATTTTGGTTTTTGTGTATGATTTCTAAACACTATACCTACAATTTGTAAAATATTTTGACCAGTTTTGAGCTTACGGACAACTTCAAATTTTAATTTATTAAATTTTTTTTTCTATAGTTGTCAATTAAATTATATTTGTTTTGTCAAAACGCGTAAAAACTGAATACAATAATAGGCTCCTGATATATTACTATTACACTATTACAGTATTTGAAAATATTAAAAAGACGTATACACAATGTTTTTATATAAGGATACAAAGGATTGAAAAATTTAAAACAAGGTTCCACGTGATTAGGTTATAACTTATAATATATAAATTCCTTTATTCACAATAATATCATAAACCATACTTTGTAATATCATAGACTAACTTCGCTCAGAATCGGTATCCTTATACAATGATATTATATCATTGAATTCAAATTTAACACCATCCAATACCCACTTGTAACCTACTGTAGGTACAACAGAGCGACACCCACTTGCCCACCTTTTTTATTCTATTAAAGTAAATTTTATTTGTTGGGGCAAAAACAATTTAATACAAGGTTCTTATAAATTGTTATAATAGCAGTTGATAAATATAATTAAAGATCCATAGACATGATTTTAGATTCTGGGAGGAGAGATGGAATGTATTGATTTTACAATGATGTTAGTTTCTTTTCTTTCTGACATCAGCATTTTGGGTAACAAAAATGCTCAGATTTTCAAGATTTAGTTGGTACGTTTGGTAGGTAAATATTTAAAATTCCAAGTAGTACTCTTTTTGAGACAGTTATAGCCTTGAAAATTTTTTTGAAATTTGGAAATTTCTATTAATTTATACTCGATAAAACTTTTTACTTAAAAGAGTCTATATTCATTTAAAGTTCAAATGTTGACACATCGGACATTTTTAAAGTATTTTTCAGTTAGAAATTCATAAAAGTTTTTCCAATTATTAGACATTTTTGTAGAATATTCACCACAAATGTTAAAATTTGACAAAATTTATCAAAATATCAAAAATTTTCAAAAGCACCTTTTGTAGTTAAATAATTATAAAATGTTCAATTTGTATAGCTAATGATTGAAACATTAAAACAAGAATTCTCATAAAATATTCATAATGTAACCAAAAAATCTAAAAATATGTATAAACACAGTTAATTTAAGTTCAAATTTGGACGAAATTATATATTAAAACCAAGAATTACGATTTCAGTTATTTTGTTGTAATTTAAAATTATTATTCGTGGGTAGGTATATGAAACTTTTAGAGTATAATATTATTATATTTTATAAACACAATGACATTTTCAAATGAAATTTTTTTGTTAAAAATTAATTTAACCTACTGTTGTAACTTGTAGGTACCTACCTACAAGCTAAATGCCTAATACTTAATAGTAAAATAGTAAATAATTACTTTAATCACAATAATATTATCAAATATACTTAGTAATATCATTTAAATATCTATTTTTTCAGCTTTGAAGTCTAAAAAAATAATATGATATTTTTGTATTTATATTATCACATTAATACGCATTATGATTTATGACACTAACAATAATTGGAATATTAAAAATCACCTCAATGGAAACCTAGTAAACTTGTTAATCAACCATAATCTATTTTAAAAATTAAAATCCGTCAAACCAAATTCCTCCTGCTTTGTCTGGCTTTTTGGTCTAAAAGTCACTATTTATTCATCGAGTGGAGCCCCCTTGATAGAAAAAAATCCAAAATGAAAAATGTCTATAAATATTAAATAACTAATAAAGAATCAACATTTTTAGATTCTGAGTGGAACGATGAATGTATGATTTTACAATGATGTGTGTTTTTATATATTTTTTTTTTAAATTTTTTTTTTGTGTCTGTGTACACGATAAGTAGTCGAAATAATGCTTCAATTTTCGACTTCAGTATCTTGTTCGATTGGAAAGTGAATATCGTTGGTGCATTGGGGAGGTCAACAATTTAAAATTCACAGTGCTTTTCAAAAGCGCCAAGAAAAACAAAAGAAACATTAAGGAAAAACGGAAATTTTTACGCAAAATCGATTTTTCAGAAAATTGAATTTGGTTTTTGGTGTAACTTTAAAACAAATGACAGTAGATACATGAAATTTTCACTAGTTGTTTATATTTGCATTTTATATACACGATAACATTTTCAAGATATTTTGATTTATTTTGAACTGTTTAGGGACATTTACATTTTTTTTAGTTTTTTTTCTAGAAATATCAATAAAATTTTATTTGTTGGTTAAAAAAACTTGAAAATTTAATATAAGGCTCCTAGTATATGGTTTCAAAGGCAGATGAAAAATATTAAAAATCGTTAATCACAGTTTTTTTTTATAAGCATTTAAAGTTCAAAAATTGACAAAATATGAAAAAATCACGAAAATTAGCAAATTATTTTGAGTTAAGAATTCGTAAAAATTGTTCTTTTTAAATCTAAGATTTGAAAATGTAATACAAGATTCCTTATAAGATTATCTATCTTTATCAAGAAATAAATGTCCATAAGAAAGTCAAATTAAATTTTTATGAGCGTTTGCATTTCAAATTTTTACAATATTGGATATTCAGTCGATTTCTCATGTAGCGATTTCATAAACGAATAACTATAGATACATGAAATTTTACTGAATGTTTATATTAGTATTTCCTATGCACCATACAATTTTGAAAATATTTTGACTCTTTTTGAGCTATTTACGGACATTTACCGCTTTCAATTTTTTTTAGTTTTTCTTTCTATAAATATCAATAAAGTTTTATCTGTTGGGCCAAAGAGTGTAAAAATTTAATACAAGGCTCCTGATATATTGTTACAATATCAGTTGAAAAATATTAAAAATACATAGGCACAGTTTTTTTTTATAAGCATTTAAAGATCGAATTTTGACAAAATTTATCAAAATCTCGCAAATTATCAATCATTGTAATTAATAAATTATAAAATGTTCAGTTTTTATAGCTAAGGATTGAAAATTTAAAATAAAGATTCTCATAAATAGTTCATACTGTAGCCAAAAATCTAAAAAATATATGATACAGTTATTTTTTACAGACATTTTAAATTCATATTTGGACAAAATTACATATTAAAAAACCTAGAATAACTATTTTAGTTATTTTGTTGTGATTGTATAATATTATTCGTGGGTACTTGAAACTTCTAAAGTGTACTATTATATATCTATGATAGTATCACGTTGATGTATAACGCGTTATAAGTACCTAATGGATATTGTGATATGATTAATTTGAAATTTATTATAGGTCAATTTTTTGTTTAATACCATAGATATGTATAAAATATGTCTTATACCTAAACTGACATACCGTCTCCGCTCAGAATCGTTTTTCTTATACAATGATATTATATCGTTGAATTCAAATTTAATATCTTCCATTATACAGTGACCCACTTGTAACTTACTGTACAGCAGAGCGACACCCACTTGCCCACCTTTTTTTAATTACATTTATTGATAATACTGATATAAACTTATTATAGGTATATCATATTAATTTATGTGTACATTTAATTCACTTGGTCACTACAGTTATTTGTTTTTAATGAATCGATTTTGTTGAAAACTGGTTTTGCTTAAAATTTGTTTTTCCCTGCAATTATTAAAAAAAGTACTGGGAATTTTTGATGTTTACCTTCCAAAAGTTGTAGGTACCAATAAGATATTATTTCCTACCAGTAAATATGTGAATGTACTAAAAGTCTAAGCATTTTTTCATCTATATATCGTGTGCCTATACAAACAAACAAAAAATAACACACATCATTGTAAAATCAATACATTTAATGCTCCGCTCAGAATCCAAAATTTTGTTTCATTAAGATAATACAATTGTAGGCAAAATCCGACGAAATAAACGTGTTAGAAAGATTTCGAAATAAAAGTGAACCACATTGGATGTTTTTTTTTGTAAGTACATATATTGATTATTAATAGTGAGTAAAACATATTTTTAAATATATTTAATATAATTTAACGTACTAACTATAATTTTTTATTTTTTCATTAATTATAAAAAAAGGATGGGAAATTGGTTAAAGTCATCATTGGCGCCGATGCTTCTAGAATAACACAATCAATAGTGGAGGAGTTTGATCAGTATGTTAAGTACAAGAATGGAGAAATTTATAAGGAGTTTGTGAGTATACAATATGGAATTCGTATTTTTGAGCATAGACAATTATTAACGTTGAGCTATACCCAAATATTAAATTGTTATAAATTAAGATACCAATAAGTAAAGTGACGGATGAGGAAAAGAAAAGACTAATGGAAATTGAAAACTATCAAAAACAGAGATCAAGGAAAGAAAAAATAATTAGAGGTTTGTGTTGTTTTTATTTTTTGACTTTTGATATTGTATGCTCAATATTGCTGGCGCACTGCTTATCAATTTGTAGTTTGCAGTCATCGAAGATAAATAAATAATATTAAACCGTGTATAATATTATATAATATAGATTGAAATCTAATATATACCTAGGTAATATAGTCAGTCCAATAGCCGTAGCTATATATTTTTTAATGAATTCTCATAAATTTCTCCTATTGTGAAAAGATACAAGTGGGTTTTGCAATTTAACACAACTTATAAGTTATAAATTCGATGATTTCAGATAAAAGAATGATGAAAGTAAGAGAACGGGCTTTGAAAAAATTTTCGTATGACATCCAAATGCAAACGTGTGTCATGTTTTTCCCTCACACAGTCAAATACATAATGGTGGAAAAACCAATGGAAGAGGGTGCAGAAGAGCTCGAAGAACCTCCCGAACCTGTGATGATAAAAAAAAGGGTGTGTGAGGTGGCCAATTCGTGTGCTAGTAAGTATGAGGAACTGATCGTTATTGAAGCTAAAGAAGTGAATTTGACGGAAGATAGTTTGTTCCAGGTAAATATAAACATTTTTTTAAATATTACGGTCAGTCAGGATAATAATATAGCCAGTAAAAATATTCGATGATATTGAAAAATCATAAAATATAACCAAAAAAATGTATATCTTAGACAGGAGCAGAACAACTTGATGAAATAATAATAAAAAATATTTCAGTAACATAAAAAAAAAAAATTTAGGGAAGTCTTCAAAATACAATATAATCTACCGAATATTTTTACAATATGTCAATATGTATTATATGGTAGGTAAATATTATGCATGTAATACAACTAAATATTTCGGACTAAATTTCTCATATACCTAGGCAAATGGCATCGAGATATAAACTGATTATTGCACATTTCGAATTATATACTATTCGGTTGTCTAATTGTTTTATTGACTAGTTTGTCGATTGAAAATTATAGGTATATGAATTATATATCATCTTACCGTTGTAGTTGTTTTTTGTGGAAAGAGAGTTTTTGGAAAGTTTTTCGCAAGAATTGGTCGATGAGCTGTTGAGTAAAAAAGTGTATTCTGTAATGTTGTCAATGCCTACTGTCAAACACGACACCACTTCCCAAGAAACAGCCGAAAATTCACCTGTTCCCGACTTAATGGGAGAAATAGAGTTGAAGTTGAGCAAGATAATTTATGGTGACGGAAGCCCATTAAACCCTAGTCCGAATTCGTAAGTACCTAAACTAAGAAGTAAGTACCTACTAAGCTAAGAATGTATCATGTATGTTGCCTACTACGTATGTTTGGTAATGTATACGCGTTAACGTAGCATTTAAGAAAATTTAAATTTAATTTTAAAATAAAATATTATTATAAAAAGGTGCATGGCCCTTTATGTAGCCCTGGGTACCACTCTGCTAGTATAACATACTGTGTCCAAGTTTTACTCAGGCACACCTTAAATATGGATGGGTGGATATTGAAAGAAGAAAAATACGACATTTTATAGGTCAGTATAATAATATTATGAGGTATAGGTTACCTACAAATTACAATATTATTTGAGCAACACAATTTTTTTTTGATACACGCCACCACGCTCTGCCGTACATTAGGTGTCGCGTGGGGTCACTGTAATGGATGTACTAAATTTTAATTCAACAATATTATATCATTATATACTAAAAACGACTCTGAGGGAAGACTATATGTATTACTAATTAGTAATTACTAAATAATATATTAAATGATATATTATTCAATATTTATATTGCTATTTAAGTAGGTAATCTAATTTATTAATAGTAAGTAGTCGGTTGAATTAATTTTTACTTAAAACATTGCATCTGAAATATTGTCATTATATGTATAAAATAAAATAATATTTATTAAATGTTTCAATACCTACAACGAATACTATTTTTAAATATAAGAAAATAACTAAAATTGTTATTCTTCGTTAATATATTTTACTTCGTCCAAATTTGAACTTAAAATGTCTATAAAAAAAAAGAGTGGTTATTACAGTATACAATACTTATGAGAAACCTTGTTTTGAATTTTCATCCTTTAAGTTATACCTATAAAAATTGAACATTTTATACATTATTAACTACAAAATTATGTACATTTTTATAATTTTATCAAAATATAAACATTAAATGCTTATAAAATAAAATTGTAACTACGTATATATATTTTTGATATTCTATAATAGGTAAATTAACTACGTATGAGTTATGAGGAACCACTATATTTATATGTATGTAGTATGTGCATAAATATTGTTATTTATTATATTATACGTGGACACCAAAATAATAAATTATAGTACAAAACTTTATTAATACATTTTTATTTAAATTAAGAAATTATAAAGTGACATATTTTTAATTCATAAATGTGTATACGTATATACATATACTATATTCATTAGGTTAATTTTTGTAGGACACTCGTATTTTAATGTTTTTTAATACATATGTAACAACAATTTAGTCTGTAATGTCACTTCAGTTAGTGACCATATTTAATATAGACTTGCAGATGTACATGCGGCAGTAGACGAATACGGACAAAAAATACCATCAATATATACTCCTAGAAATCCTTTGAGTAAAGCTTCAGCACTCACCATTTTGTTCGACAAATTCTGCCGAAATAATGGATATATCGCACCCCAGCCACCTTTACCACAGGTTAGAGAACTAACAGATGCTTGGTAGCTGGTAGATATTTTTTGTTTCCTATATATTACGGTATATACTATATATGCAGAAACCGATAATTGTATTAATTATCATATTACTTATTTGTTGAAATGGTCATAGAGGCGCATTTCAAAAACAAATTACTTATATTTTGTCATACACTCACTTACACACATAAACTTTGCAGTACCTTATCATTTTCGATATCAACAAATCAAACACCGTATTACCGATTATTGAGGATATGGAAGACACAGTCATCTACTACGGGTTTTTCCGTAGCGCCGATCCTGAAAACCCCAAGCTGCTGTGTAAAGACCCTGAATTGTTGTCTGTATATGGCATGGACAAGGTTGGGTAGGTATCTTAAATTATTTCAACAATATATATAGTGCTTAAATATACCTATTAAGATTAAATAAATACGAATGAAGATCGGTTAGACAGTCATTAAAACAGAATAGTTAATGGCTTACAAAAAAATATTAGATATAGGTATGGACTACGAAATATATATTTTATTTTTAAGCTAGGGTGTTATATATTCCTGTAATTTACGCAGTTTTTGTTTTTAATTGCGTTTGTGCATTAAAATGTAATCCACTTATCTGACCTTTCGTCACCCATAATATTATATAGTTTTTAGACAATGATGTTAGCTTTCTGGAATTTGAATTTGAAAATGTGGGCCAGAAATAGTTTTTTAGATACTTTGTAATAATTAATAGACATAAACACTAAACAGGCAACAACACATGGACTTGTCCTACTGGAGGACACGAATAACAATAATAAGTAATAACTAATAAGTCTATCCTTAAACTTTTCAATAATACATTGATGGTTTGAGCTTAATCATGATTTATCTCGTGATGATATTTAGATATTAATCATTATTTCACGGTAATGTCTATGTTATTATTGATTTACCAATATATTATAATACTATCAAATTTGTTATTATCTATTATAAAAATTTGAATTTAAATAATATTAATTGGAAAAATAGTTTTTGATGTGGTCAAATAACACCTTATGTCATATTATTAAACACATTTTTAGTTTTAAATTTAAAATTTTTCTATATCTGCGCTAAGATAATAGTTGTGTTAATGATTTTTTTTTTATTTTATCTATATATAATAGGTATAATAAATACAAATATTTTACTTTTTATACAGCAAAGAGGCTAAATTGGTGTTGGCTGTGCTTATGGACGACAAGGACAAGAGTCTGTTGCGGTTTGTCGACATTGGTCCGATATACGTGAGCCCGGATCACCAAGTGGGCATCGACGATGCTATCAAGTTTTTCCCATATAACTTCGACGAGATGGACGGCGAGATAAAAATGTGGCTGGCACAGCAGGAGCTTCTGAACGAGGAGGATACGGGTGCGGAGTACGAATTTGACGAAGGTAATGAGGGAATTATTGAAGAAGAGTACTTATCTCAAGATCAGCAACAGGTCCCAGAGAAGTAGACTGTCTTCGGTTAACATTATGCAAGTTTGATTATTTCCAAACATTAGCATGGATTCTGGATTATGTTTTGGTCTCAATTATTAACTATTATAATAATATATGTATATACATAACTGTACATATTATACCTATATGTCATTATATCCACAGTAAATATTTTATAGATAATCATACTATTATGAAGGGAAATATATAAAGTACGGGTAGAAGTGGGGTCAAATCAGTTTTTAACAGGAGGTGGCAAAAATCAGCCAGTTCAACCTATACATGTACCTATTAATAAGTATATGTTATGATATATTTTTATTGTTATTAAATTAATTTAATTTAATTAGGTTGAATACATTTTTGCCGAAAATATTTCATTGTGTATATAAAATATAATAATATTATATAAGTTTCAAGTACCTTTACCCAAAAGTAATATTTTTAAATCACAACAAAATAATTATATTTTTTTAAGAGTTTTTGGTTACTTTATATAAACTAGTTATGACTTATGAGTAGGGCTGGGATTTCGATGCACTTTGCATTGTTTTCCTAAGCTTACTGTGCAATGCTCGTCTTGTCACAAATTTGTTTTATGTACATTTGAATGAGAATAAGAAAGTTTATTTTGCATTTTTTAGTTTTTAGGTCATTTTCTTAATTTTTAGAGTTTTTGGAGCATTTTTTGAGTTTTTGGAAACCAAGTATGAATTTGAAATTTTATTTTAAGATTTTTACACCAACATGGTTTTTAAATAAATATAACAGATTATAAGTAGGTATTCGTAATTCGTATTATATTATCGGCCAAGGTTTGAGTAACCTCTACCCGCATTTCCTGTTAAATAATCTTAAATCGGTCCGATGATATCGTTCGACGTTCAGTACGAGTTTTGTCGTCGTTAACACCGTTTCTAGTTAATTTTTTTTTTGATAATTTAGTTTAAAAATTTCAAAAGTAAAATGTTCGACAACGAGTCGAAAAATGTTTAGATCATAAAAGCATTTTTTTTAGGGTATTTTTCGGGGTGTTTTAGGGCATTATTTAGAGTTTTTAGGTCATAAAAGCATTTTTTTAGGACATTTTCCGGGATTATTTAGGGCATTAAAATCCCAGCCCTACTTATGAGAAACCATGTTTTACATTTTCAATCCCAACCTATAAGAAATTTAACATTTTATGCATTTTAACTACAAAATGAAATTTTCGTAATTTTGAAAGTTTTGTCAAATGCCTTCAAAAGAGATCTTGCCTATGCATCTTTAATGTTTTAAAAACAACTTATGAAGATCATTGCATAATATTTTCAAGCTTTGACAGTGCTAAATATTTTTTATCGACATTTAAAAAAAAAAACAAAAATTTTATGTGTCAAAATATTTTGAAAACTTTGCGATGCAAACGAAATACTGTAATATAAATTTTTGGTGAAAATTTCAAGTATCTATGGTTATTTGTTTTTAAGTTAGACCAAAAATACTAATTTTGCGTAAAAATTCCATTATTCTTTCATTTTTTTTAAAAATTTTTCTCGATTATTGTGAATATTAATAGGAATTTTACTTTTGACCACCCCAAGTACCAACTAAATCAAATTTACTACCAGAAACCCTCCCTCAAAGTGGAAAATTGAAGCATTTTTACTGATCCAAAAGGTGATGACTAACACAAAAAAAACTAACATCATTGTAAAATCAATATAATCTATTATCACTCCTCTCAGAATCTAAAATTTGGTTGTTTTGTACCGGGATCTACCAAATAATTCAACGAATGAAATTAAAATTTATTAGTATTTTGAAGTAAAAAGCTTATTAATAATATTTAATAATCAATCTTATTAAAAATAATTAGGTAGGTACTAAGAGTTTCTAAAAACGTCTCTATCAGCTATGGAGTGGTTTGTGACCAGCCCGTGCGCCCCTGGTACTACGGAGACTGTTTCATCGGAGTCCTCGGTTTCGCAATCGAAGTACTTTTACAATGTGAACGAAAAATTATCGTATGGAAAAGCGGTTTAGTGCGGGTAAAAACCTAGGCAGACATCATGAGGATAACAGTCAAGCGACAACCATTATAAAAAAACTGACTGGCGACTGCAATATTATTAAAATTAGTTACCATCTAAAATTAACAAATCACAAATATTAATTTAAATCAAATATAATGCTTAAAAATATTTAAATATGTAAAGAAAATCTTAAAGTCGTAATAGGATTATAGGAAATTAGATGGTAAAAGAAAAACGATTATTTTAATTATTTTGTTAAAGTTAAAAAATGTTTTTCGTGTGGTAGTAGTGGTACTTTTATCATAGTTGTATGTACATTATTATATTTTACTATATTATGTATAATATATAAAATTATATTTTAGGTATTGCAATTTTTGGTATTCCCTCAAAAGTTATAAAAACAATAATAATATAATATATTATGGTATAGCCATATGACATGGGTAGGTAAAATATTAAGCTATTATAATAACAAAATATAGTAAGTATAAATGTAATGTTTTTGACAACTTACCGTATTACCATCTAGTATCTATTTACTAATAATTGAGTAAATTACTATAATAGAAATTTTAATGTATAATAAAATATATTAGTCCCTGCATTTGATATACAGTTTAAGCTAGTTATAGTTTTATTAATCTCACAAGTGTAGTTTAATTGACATCACGTAAGTACATTTAATGAAGTGTTACCTCTGGCTTAGCTGTAGCCTGTAGTGATGTATCAATGGTACAGTACCCAGTGTCGCAACTAGGGCAGAAATGTTGATACTTGACATTACATGGGAAGTAACCCGTGGGGGCGAGTAATACTATGGTCACTTAAAAATATAAAAAAATCAATTATTTATTTACTCAAGTATTTAATTATACCTTATTTTTTAATATGTATATTATAATTTTCAAACATTAAGAATAGGTAATATTTTTTGCTTAATACCTTTATAATATATATTATAATATATCCTTAAATAAAATATTACCCACGTTTCCTAATAATATTTTAACTATATGTAAATAATAATAATTATTATTATTAGAAGTAGATATTATAAGGTTTACTTAATATAGGTAGATACAATATTTAAAATATTATAAAATAAAAATATTTCGAATGATCTATACATCAACTAATAAAATAAATTATTATTAAACAAATAGTTAATGCATTTAGGTACCTAATCAGTAGGGCTCGGATGTTGTTGCATTTGCAACTTTTTTTCTATTGTTCGGATTCGTTGCTAAGTAGGTTATAAATTTGTTTCAAACGAGTACCAATTAATATATAAAAAAAATTTAAGTGCAACTTTTTGCAATTTTTTAGCTTTTTTCAATTTTATTGCAATTTTGTCGATTGTCGTCATTTTCAATACAATTTTATGTATTTTTTTGTGTTTTCACTTTTTTTTGTTAGATTATACAGGTTTAATCTATGGTTATGTCGGGCTTATTTGAGTTATTGACCGTCGTCGTCGGCGGTAACTTAAAAAAAAAATAAAAATAGTTTAAATAAAAAGTTTTAAATTTTGATAAAATTATTTATAGGTTTCTGAAAAAATAAGAAGACCGGACAATTTACCAGATTTTTAATGACAACTGACGAGAATTTGAATTTGAATCTTTTTTATTATCTACTCGTTTAAAACCTACCTAATAAAACTTTTTAATATTACTTAATAAAATGACTTAATCCATTTCATAAAATAATTTTTTAATATATTTTTTTAATTTTTTTGATACAAAATAATTTTTTATTGCAATTTTTAAGTGCAATTTTGGGTTTTTTTCACAGCATTAATGCAATCAATTTTATAACATTTTTAGTGCAACAACATCCGAGCCCTACTAATCAGTAATATTTTAAAAGAACTATCAATATATTATTAATATGTTGTTTCACATCTTGATATAAAACAAAACAATATTATTGTTAATTTTTGAATATGATTTAATATATATTAATTTTTTTAATGAAAAGTATACTTATATTATATAAGTATAATACTATATTTGTAATTAAATATTAGTAATGTAATAATTTTATTATACACTAATTACGTTTTAAAAATGAAATGTGGATATGTGGTTGTCAGTAACATTGTAGTCTGGGGTCAGGGATTCTTTTCATGGGATTTTTATTCTGTTATTACCTATCTCTATGTTATAGTTCAGTGCATATAGGTATACTGTAAAATTGTGTGTAATAATCTTACCAAATACAAAATAATTTATATCATACCGACATAAATTGTTTTCTAAAAAGTAAAAACTAAAACAAACAGACAACTTATAATATTTACCATATTTATCATAGGCAATATAAACAAAAAAGTTTAAATAAAAATTAAAAAGGTGCTCTGCTGTACAGTAGGTCACTGTATAATGGATAGTATTAAATTTGAATTCAATAATATAATATCATTGTATATGAAAAACGATTCTGAGGGGAGACGGTATGTCAGTCTAGGTATAAGGCATATTATATACTTACGACTTACCTATCTATGGTATTAAAAAAAAAACCTATTATAGGTAAGTACCTATAATAAATTCTAAATTAATCATATCACAATATCGTCAATATCCATTAGATACTTATAACGCGTTTTACATCAAAAACAAACCCTGATACTATCATAGATATATAATAGTGTACTTTAGAAATTCCAAGTACCCACGAATAATATTAAACAATCACAACGAAATAACTAAAATATTTATTCTAGGTTTTTTTTATGTAATTTCATATAAATTTGAACTTAAAATGACTATAAAAATAAACTGTGCTTATGTATTTTTTAGATATTTTGGTAACAGAATAAACTACTTACGTGGAATCTTGTTTTAAATTTTCAATCCCTAAATATAAAAGTTGAACATTTTATAAATGTTCAACTACAAAATAGTTATTCAATTTTAAATTTGACAAATTTTGTCAACATTTGATCTTTAAATGCTTATAAAAAAAAATTGTGCCTATTTATTTTTAATATT